ATGGGACAAGGGGAGGGTGGGACACTATGGGACAAGGGGAGGGTGGGACACTATGGGACAAGGAGAGGGTGGGACACTATGGGACAAGGGGAGGGGGGGACACTATGGGAGGAAAAGTGTACTATGGAACAATGGGAGGGGGGGACACTATGGGATCAGAACACTAATGGACAAGGGGAGGAGGGGTTAAAGAACACTATGGGACAGGGTAGGAGGGGTTAACAATCACTATGGGACAGAGGAAAGGGGGGTTAAAGATCATTATGGGACAGGGGAGAAAAAAAAAATATTCTGAACAAACTGTCCCATGGTAAGAAACACTATGGAACAGTTTGTTCAGAATATTTTTTTTTCTGGGTTTCCTCCTCTAAAAACTAGGTGCGTCTTATGGTGAGGTGCGTCATTTGGAGTATGCTCATTCTGAAAATGTAAGTTTTATGAGAATGTGATGCATACTTTTAAAGTTATGAATAATGTGGAAAAACTGTATTTCTCTGCTGGTGATAATTACATTACCCATTGTGTAAGGTAATTGTATCACAGGCAGAGGGGAGGATTTTGTGTGGGAGTGTCTGAGTGTATTGTATGTGTTTATTGGTTGGTTTCCAAAACCCTGTGGGTGGTACTAATGTGTATATAAGAACAATAAACCCACAGCTCTGTCTGTTCCTGCTTGACCCTCAAAACGGAGCCTTGTCTCGTTCTTGGGGGGATTTATTGTATGCTGTTCCAGTTTGACTGCTAGAAGTGTAAACCTATTTGTATGATTTTTCCTATTCGGCTGTTTACGGCATTCACATGCTTCTCCGGTTCGGTGTATTGGTGTCTACAGTAGCTACCTGTGTCTCTGGAAGGGGAAGATCTACTAAACGGTGGTTTACCCCTTTTATGCCTGGGGGTGCCGTTACATCCCCATATTATGTATTTCAAAGTCCCTCACCTGGTGCCCACCACTATTATTTCATGGGATGAGGTCTTTTTATTGACTTGGCAGCAATAGATGTTAGTAGACAGGTTGGGACATAGGGAGGATTAAAACATAGGTTTGGCGGAGCTCTGATGCCATGCCTAGATATCTCCACTGTTCCTTCCTGGAAGCTGAAAGAGGCGCTGTAGTATTCTGTGACGGTCTGAGTAGCTATCACCGTCATTCCCTTATTC